AGTATCCCAACTATTTATTTGCGTTTCCAAATCCACCTACCTACTCAAAGGTTAAGTACCTTTTTAAATTTTGATATTTTCAGATTATATTTAAACTCAGCAATAACAAGTCTTCTAAAAGTTTCATGATACTTAGATTATTTCTTTGAAATTTGAATTTTAAAAGTTTGAAATTAAAATCAAATTCAACAATCTCAAAAATTCTTAGAAAACATCTTCTCTAAATTACTTAATTATAACCCAAACAACACAAAGTCTAAAATTGTGACATAAGATGTCTTTAAGTCGTCTTTTAGACGCACAAAACATTTTATGGCCCGATTTGACACTTTTTGTTATCTAGGAAAGGACCTCAAAGAGTAGAAAAAACTCACATTGCCGATAGAGAGGGTTACTATTAACTTTCAAAGATTTCTCTAGTCCTTAATTTAAAAACCTAGTTAAATAAAATAAATAATAAATTTGTATTTTTCTCGAAAATCTTAAATTCGAAATGATAATAAAACTTCAAAATAATTGTTAAAAATAAATAAACATTCTTTTATATAAATTTATATTTTATTATTTTTATTATATTTATTATGACAATAATAAACAGACAGAATAATTATTATTATAATAGCACAAAATAAGTTTTATCTTTGTATTGTAACTTAAAAATTAATCAACAAACAAAGATATAAATTAAAACATAACAAAACAAACAATTAACTTAAAAGTAATGGTCGAAAGTTAAATTTTATTTCAAATAATATTGTTATCATAATCTTTAATTAGAAGATTGATAAATTTGGTTCTATAATGGAACAAGTAAACGCCCCATTCACAAAAATTTACTCAACATGAACTTAATCGATAAATATAAACATATTCTTGCGCTAATTATTTATCGCCGATATCTATTATCTGCTTCCTTTATCTATATACGTGCCTGTAATTATATTTTCTCTTTTCAGTAGCCAACCGAAATGCGTTTACGGATGTTTTACGTGAGACGACCGCCGATGTATTGCGAAAAAGAATACAGGTGCGAAATAATATACTGTCAACTTCGACTTAATCCGTGATTGAACTTAATGTAATGTGAATTAAAGTAGTTTTATTAAGTTTATCGATCAAATATCGTTTGTGCTAGAAAAAAAGGTACAATAATACCCAAGAGCACATTTAAAGAATCAAAGATTAAACCGATAAGATACCGTTTCGTGAGAGATAACGTACCTCTCTAGCATATTGTTTGTTTGTTGTAAGGAGTATTTCCTCGCAGGAAATAAGAGAGGATGTTTTGGGGCACGTTAACAAACGCTTTAATGACATGATGTCCGAGGTTCTGCAGAAGCTAGAAGTACCTTTGGTAAAGAATGGGGAACTCTTGTACAGTACGGATAAATACCGTGATAAAAGGTGAGAAATAATAAAAAAAGAAAGAAAGCTTTGAACAAAAAATACTTGCAAAAATATAGGCTAAAGATAGGGTAGATAGATTAAAAAATGTTTGAGAATATATATAAATATAATAATTTTAAAAAAATATATCAACGTGTGTGAGAAATAACAATATTGTTGATTAAATATATATTTTTTTAATAATAGTACTATAAAGTCCAAATAAAAAATAAAATAAAACTTTATTGTGTTCAATACTTTCACTGTTATACTTTACGTTATATCAAAAATATTATAAAGTATGACAATAAAGTATGACATAATTATACCTACAATATAATTATAAAACTAAGAGTTCTAAGAAAATTTAAAATAATATGGTTACTTAAAATTGACATTCTAGAATGCAGATAATAAATAAAGGAATTTAAAAAAATTCCTGACTGCGCATTTCACGCAGTTGCCACAGTATTTCATAATTATTATGCATTAACATTGCGTTGCAAGCATGTTCCTTTTCGTCTATTAACATAAGAATGTACAGGCTTTATAGAAAAATTGCAATCAAAAATTGCAAATGTAATCAATGAAATGTATAATTTACAATAGCATATCTGTAATGCCTCCAGAGAATCCAGCAAAGAAGGTGCACTACCGAATAAGGAGTTCCTCGAAAGAAACTCATTGCTCACCGATCTCTTCGAGATCCCGCACATTCGCACAGTTTACAATCTGTTCATGGTGACTCTCATACTCCTATTTTTCAACACCATCGTATCCGATATCATGGAATCCGGAACGTAAGTTCGCAACGGATGACATAATTTGTTTCTCGCTGAATCATCGATTTTGCGGAAAATCAAATATCATTCCGTAAAATATACATTTGAAATATTTGAAACAAAACCTTTTTTTAACATTTTTTGTTAACAATTAACTAGATATCTTTAGTAAAAAATTTCAAATTTAATTTTTTTTAATTTTTAAATATCTATTAAATCTTACAGTCAAATTGTATTATCAAATTTTTAAAAGATATTTTGCGATGTAACGCAGATCGTAATTTTATACAGACTCATTAATCAAAATTGTACATTTCTCATTTCTGCACGAGTTATCGTGGTTGAGAAGTAAACGGTACAATTTATTGCGCCTGGAAAATTACTTGTAACAAAAGACGACAAGATTTATCTGTTGCAAGTGTAGTGAAAATTCCGTTGAAAAATACAAAAACTTGATTAATGAATTAATTATCGAATTAATCGATTAGATCTTAAATATTTTTCGTTTGTACAAATATATTGATCTCTTATCAATATACACGACTTTAATTCTAATCACCTAATTTTTCTTTTTTAATGATAATTAAGGTTCCACGTTGGTACTAATACGTTATGGATTGGTTTCGCAAAGTTTTCAACGTGCATCTACATTTGGTCATTCATGCAAACCTCGACACTTAGTGTCTACATGGCTTTCACCCTTTGGGCGCACCAACGACTTCGATTCTTGCCAAAATGTAACAATCTCTTCAATTTAAACTAAGATAAATATGCTTAATTTAAACGTTAAGAAAGTTAAATTAATTGAGAAATTCAAAATCGAAAGTAAATCGTTTGAATTAAAGAGCAATTTGAAATAAATATATAAAATCTGAATTTTTTAAAATAATCTTTTTTGTGATGTAAAATAATCAATTAATTAAGTTAAAATTATAATAAGAAATAATGGGAAATTAAATAATCAAAGTAATTGTAAAAAAATATTTGAAAATATCAATAAATTAAATCAATTTATATTAAATAATATTAATTAAAATTTAATTTAAGTTACTTAAGTATGTCTTTTCTTTTTGCAGCTTCCATTCTAAAATTGTGGGATTACACCTGGCTATCAATATTTATATCGTATCTAATTCTTTTTATCATTTTTCCTATTAAGACAATGCTCAACGCGAATCTCTCCATAGGTTGCAGTTTAATTGTTATTATGGAACAAGTATGCATCTTTAAAAATCTACCCTTATAGTATCTTAAATTATGATAATAATTTGAAAAGTTTTGCAAATTATGCATTAAAGTAAACGAATGAATTTTTTGGCATGCAGCACACTTTCAATAATGCAAATTAATAAAAAAATTTTCTTCCGATTCGCGAATTAATAAAAGCCATTAATCATGAAGTTTATTATTGCTAGAATTTATTAATGCTATATAAATTTATAAATGCTGTATAAATTTATTATTGCTAGAAATGCTAAAATTTTTTTCACTCTAAAAGATATTTGCTTTTTTAGATACGCATGATGATGAAGACTCACGCCTTCGTCAGAAGCGCGGCACCCAGATTTTTGTCGTATAAACCTCACAGCGAAATTCCACGACCGAGTGGCCCCACATTCTCGCAATATCTATATTTCCTGTTCGCACCAACTCTTGTATACCGCGACGAATATCCCAGGTAACAATATTTCACAATCTCTTTGATAACAATTGTGAGCTTTTAATTGTGCGAAATAATTATATCAAATAATTATTATATGAATTAAATATTAGTTGTAATTAGGCTCATTACAAATGGATCAATTCATAAGTTGATGCCTTTTAGAGCCAAAGGATGTTGATGCGTAATAAAATTTATTAGTGCCTTATATATGTCTTATATATACGTTTTGATCCAGCTTCGGATCTTTTTCAATGCAAATTGAACGAACTCATTGAGTTTCCCGACGCACTGTATAAATATAATCGATATCTCATTGTTAACATAATTAAAAAGTTGAAATAAAAAAACAAAAAGTAGAAAAATAAGAAAAACGAAAAGTTGACAATAAATAATAATCTAATACATTAAAGTCGTGACTATTAATTTGAAAAACTTACATAATATTTATTAAGCTTATAAAATATACATCTGTACGGCCGTTACGATACATCTAAACGATACTAAACTAAAGTACAAATCACGAATTAAACCACAAAAAACAGAGATATTGGAGAGAGGAAAAACTTAGTTATTTTCACAAATAAAAAGTCATATACTTCATTTAATGAATCCGTGTCTAATTATATGTTTAAACTATTTTTCTGTTTACGGATGAAAATCATTTCTAATATGAGTCTTTTGTTTAATATTGTTTCTTGATCTAATAGTTGCTTTCCACCGATTCTCAGATAATTCTCACTTGTGACATTATAACTCAATTGAATGCGCGTTCCTTTTACATTCTCACAAATGAGATTTAATTGAATTTTTGTCTATAATCTGCACAAGATTGAGATCGTTTGCTTTAGTAAGTCTCGTAAAATCACTTTAAAAATGAGGTTCAAACTTGTGTTGTCATGTAATAACTGTTTATCAAACTAAGCAAATAATGATGTCATTAATCTGAGTATGAAGTACTCAAATCACTTCAGACTCAGTTTCACTTGTGTGAAAAGCAACTACTGTCTTAACATTGTCCCAGTCAAAATTGTGTGCTTGTTCTAGTCGATGGTCTGTAATAACTGATCTTTGATCTGTATTTCAATTGATATGATTTCTATGTGCTAATTTTGCACTAATTCTGAGTTTTGAGGGTCCTTCCTGTTTGATCCACGTCCTTGCATACAAAAGTATCAACAAATTAAATAACTACATTAGAATACAGAAAGACAAACTTTCACATATAATGTATACTGACGTAGTTTATAAAATTGAATGCTAGGACATATGACGCATCATATGTGACTCAAACAAAAAAGACTCTCAAAACCAGAATTAGTAAACATAGAAATCATATCGAAATACAGATCAAAGTTCACTAAAGTTATCACAAAACGATATGAATATCTAATCTATCGACTAGAAAAAGCACACGATTTTGACTGGCACAATGTAAGATATTAGATCAAGAAAAAATATTAAATAAAAGACTTATATCAAAAATGATCTTCATCCGCAAACAGAAAAATAGTTTAAACATACAATCAGACACGGATTAATTAAACGAAGCATATGACTTTTTATTTGAAAATAACTAAGTTTTCCTCTCTTCAATATCTCTGTTATTTATGGTATAACTGGTGATTTGTACTTTTAGCTTAGCATTGTTTAGATCGTAACGTCTATATAGATGACACGTATATTTTATAAACTTAACGAATATCATGTAAGTTTTTCATTAGTATTGTAGTGTAGTAGTATTGTTCACGACTTTAAATTATTATTTTTTGTCAACACTTTATTTTTTATAATTATGTTAACAATGAGATATCGATTATATTTATACACTGCGTCGGGAAACTCAATGAGTTCTTTCAATTTGCATTGAAAAGAATCCGAAGCTGGATCGAAACGTATGTACAAGGTACTAATAAATCTTATTACGCATCGACATCCTGTGTTAAAAGGTATCAATTTATGGACAGATTTAAATAATTATTATGCAATAATAAATTTATTGTCACATTATATATATTAATCGAATAAATTCTTTACATGTAAATACCCAATGTTTGGCTCACACATAAGCATAACAATTATTTGATTTATTCTTTGGAGCCTGTCCATTCTTTTTATTATAGAAATAATTATACATATATATAATTATAATTATATGTATAATTATACACATATGTATTAATTGTAAAGTTTAACTTGTTATTAGGCAACAATGAATTGATATGGCTTAAAAGATATTAGAAATAATGCTAAAGACTGTTTATGAAATGTACAAACAAAATGTCCTAATCTTTAATAATGCAATTCGATGATTATAGCTCAATATTTCAAATTCATCATAAAAAATATTTATGAGATAATTTTATATTATTATCATGTTGCAGCGATATTAAATTGATCTAAAAGACTTTAGAAGAAGATTTATTTGAGTACGATTGTTGCGTATCAAAAATTTATGTACGACGAAATGCGGAAATAAATGGTCAGATGGTCCGCGATCCTATCATGTTACGAAACACGTTTTTAAATAACAACCAATTTTCCACCAATTTGCAATCAAACGTGGACAGAGACGCCTCAGGCAATTTGATTCGCCGGATTTTCACAATTGTCGCTCTCGTGTTGTTACCAGATTGCGTCTCGATACTCGACATGCCGGCATCCGATGTATTTGCTGGGTTTAGAATATCTTCGATTTTACCCGCGAGAGCATAGAATCGTTCTTAAATGTTAGCGGATTCATCCTGATGAGCGTCATTCGGATTCGCTATGGCGAGCTCGTCGTTATGCTCTTCGAATGCATTATATAAGTCTGTTAAACGCGTGATTCGTAATTTTAACGCGGCGTTATTAAAATCACCCTTGTCGAGGAGGTTCGATAAATTAATTATCTGGGATTTTAAAGAGATTCGATTTTATAATAGAAAGTTGATTCTATCGGCCATTTTTGCGTCGAAGTGAGATCGAATGACTCACGTTAATCCTCAAGACCCGTATAGGTGTAAAATTACGCGAACGTAATTATTCTGGTAATTTCGCAGATTCGGAATGAATCGTATACGGCCATCATTTGCTTCCCAGAAACTGAATCCTAAAAACCTGTATCCTCTGATGTTGCATCCGTGAGTGTGAAGACCTCGCAGGAGATACCAAATGTTCCGTAGTTCAGTGCAAATAACATTACAATTTACATTGTCTCTTCGTATAGTTTATTGTTCACTATGTATAGTATAAATTTTCACTTCTTGGGCTCGCAGTTAAAGTAAACCCGCCTTCAACGACACCTAAGGACTGATGCCCTGAGTCGAGGTACGGGGAACGCTTTGGGGCTGTTGCCCTGAATCGCGGGTGCAGACGCGTGACACGATAAGAGGCAGATGCCTTAATTCATGCTCGATCTGAACACTCGCAAGAACGCCTGAGGACGATGCCTTGACTCGCAATCGCTTATTCAACGTGTACTCTCTTAGACTCCGTGATCGACTGACAGACTACTCTCGATCGTCATCCCCGAACTACCCCGATCTGGCTTCTGATTAGTAATCGATGGATCAGAGAGATCGCGGATCGACGGCGACGAATATGACAAGCGCGATACTCGTCGCCAGGATTATAGGCGACGACGATCCTTTGTATATGCACGCGATATTTGACCCAATGAATTGTGACCCAATGAATGCCGATGCAAGAGGCGCGCGCGCGCGCGCGCGCGCGTGTGTGTGTGTGTGTCTGACCATTTGTTTCCGCATTTCATCATACACGACATATAGATTTTTGTGATAGATACGCAACGATTGATTTTCTTAGGACCAAAAGAATCAGGTGGATGGTGGTAATTCGAAATTTCGCTGAAGTCGGCCTAGCAATTTTCTATCTTGCCTTTATTCTGGAACGTCTTGTATTACCGGTCTATCACGTATATGAAACACAACATTTGGAACGGAAATGGTTCGTCAAGAATATCATCGAGTGTAGTATTCCTGGCATTCTCTACTTCATCACCGGACAATATCTCCTGCTACACGCGTGGTTAAATGCTTGGGCGGAAATGCTGCAGTTCGCCGACCGATTGTTTTACAAGGTAAAGCGCGTCTTCAGTATTTTACCCTGTAAACCTTGTACCTTCTTATACTCGTATATCCGATGTATTATATTATTTTTATAAGGTAGCTCACTGAATAATTTTGCAAAAATTGTACGTAGGATGTAAATATCTTTACGTAATATATCGTATATATTGATACCTTCAATATATGATAATTTGAATATATGTGGTAGCGTCTATAAACATAACAATTTTAAGTTTCTGCAAAACTATGAAATGAGATACTTGTAATTATATAAGTATCTCAGTTTTGAAGCTATGTTTTCAACCTCCAGAATTGATCTTAAAACTTTGCATGGCAATTTCTCAAGGAACACATAAAAAAAAAGTCAAAATGACATTCAAGTCAAAAAAAAATCAAAACTATGATTTTTTTATTACAAAATTTGACTGTTCATTGACTTTAAGTATCAGAATAAAGTCATTTTAAGTTTTTGTTGATTTTTATAAAAATCAAGTCAATTTTTATAAAAATCATTTCTGGATGTCGATTTTTGTAATTTATAGCTTCATGAATGTTTAGGCCTTTATTATCTTTTTGAATTTCTGTCCTTTCTCGTTTTCTCTCTAATGTGGAGGAAAAAGAAGAAAGCTGAAACGTGCAAAAAGCTTAACTAAAAAGAACAGATCCATTGTGTTGCTTGTATTACAGGACTGGTGGAACAGCACGACTTACCATACTTACTACCGCAAATGGAATGTGGTGGTGCATGATTGGTTGTACACTTATATCTACAAGGACATGTACGAGATCTTGGTGCCACGCAATCGAATGCTGTCAGCTATTGCCGTATTCCTTGTTTCCGCCATTGTTCACGAGTATATACTTGCATTCGGATTTGGCTTCTTCTATCCTGTGATGTTCATGTTATTCGGAGTCATAGGTTTCGCCATGTTCTACGTCCGCAAAATCATCACCAGCAACGTCTTCATGTGGCTGACCTGGAGTGTTGGCAACGGCATTATGTTCAGTTTATATGCGATGGAGTTCTACGCCCGGCACAACTGTCCGCCTCTTTCTAATTATTATTTGGACCTATTTGTACCACGCAGCTGGAGATGTCAAAAACAATTTAACGCGTAAATTATTGCCTCGCTCGTTTAAAAATAAAATCTTTTCGAGACAATATATTTCTTGTTCTCTGCAATCAAAGACTATATATTTATAAGAACTGTTATGTACGAAATTTGTGTAACCAATTTAGTGTTAAATTGGAATATAATAAGGAGTGGTTTGACTCCTTGAGAACGAAATCGCAATAATAAGAGGATCAATAGGAATCAGACGCAATTGTTAGTAAACAATATAATTGATTTATGGAATTGCAGCTCTTAATTTACTTGTTACAATTTTTAGATAATGAAAGTAATGGCAACTTTTTCTCTAAGCCATCAATGAAAAAAATTGGAAATGGACGAAAATATTTTTTTCACGTTTTGCAACTATTACTGAAATTTTTTATTATTACAATCAATGATCCTCTTGACGATATTCAAGTTATGTACCGTACAAATCAAACTAATAATGGTGCTCTATCATGTTTCATAATAAAAATTATTAACGTTAAATAACGTAAAAAAAGTCAATCCAACTTATTCTTTTGAAGATGGACTGGAAAGAAAAATAGTACTGTTTACAAAAAAAATTCATTTTTTTCATAATAAGTATAATAAAAATAAAAGATTAATAAAACTTATCAATGGAAGGTAAGATTATTATATGTGCAAATTTTTTAATAATTTAGAATTTTTCCATGGAAACGAACTATATGTACAGAAAGCACACGTCGACAAAGTCCTAAATTCTTCTGAGAACGATGCTCGATATCTCGAATTTATAATTAATTGTAATTAAGTCATGAAGTCCCAGTTAAAAGAAAACTACAGACTTTTCTTTTAAATCCTTATAACTTATTAGATCATAATCAAAATTTTTTAGTCGAAATTGCTAGGAATAAAAAGAATTTCTCCAAAAAATTAAGACTTCAGTTACAAGGATTTACAATAAAGAAGGGACTTAATGTGTTAAATTAGTTATGTATAAAGAAAAATGGAGTTGTTAAAAGTTTAATATATACACGAGAGTTTATATAAAAAGAGATAGTTTTTTATCAAAGTTTTATATATGTTTTCCAATTTTCATATATGGCGATGACGAGGACACTCAGTGAGAAATGACAATGGAATCAATGTCGAATTCATGATTTCAACGTCGAATTGACATCGATTCGATGTCAATTCTATTGTCATTTCTCACTGAGCATACACGTACATTGATTACGTATATCTTCCGCCTTGTACAAATTAACTTATATTATACAGTCGATAAGTGTATACAATTCTTTTTAGTAATTTATAATTATTTTCTTTTTCATATTATAATATACATTTGTATATATATTTATATAATTGTATTATTGTAATATGTTATTGATAAATTTTGTTACAGATAACGAATTTGCAAAATTAGTAAACATTATTAACATTTCTTCTTTGTCTAATTAACAAATAA